ATTCCTTATGAAAAAGATAAAAAAGGAAAAGCTAAAATAGGTTGATTGGGAGCAAACTTCCAAACAGGAACTGATCTCAATACCATGATGCTCAGAGTCAAGGGGTAAAAATCAAAAATCATACTTTTATTCTGAAACAAAAATGTGAATTTCTCCTTAAAAATATTTCTCCTGCTGTCATGTAAGAATATCAAAAAATTTGGTTTTTGTGCTACTGAGAATTGAAACTAGGGTCTCATAGTCTACCACTGAGGTAAGCTCCCCCCTCCAATTTTTTTGATTAAAATACTTTTTTTTATTTTTTGATGGTACTGGGTTTGAACCCAGGGCCTCATGCTTGCTAGGGAGGTGCTCCATCACTTGAGCCACTCCGCCAATGATTAAAACACTTTTATAGGACAAAATTGTAGATAAAGATTACAAGTAAATATATTATGGATAAAGGTAGGCAGGTTTCACACTTGTAAAGAAGTGAGTTATAAACATGGAAGGGTGAAAGGCTACAACAAGCCCTGTGGTATTAGGCTGAAACTGAAGCACGGGTATGCACCCATGCTTTTGATACAAAGAGACAGAGATACAAAGAGAAAAAAAGAGAAAATACAAAGAGAGAATACAAAAAGAGAATACAAAGAGAGATACAAAGAGATAGTGACATAAAGAGAAGGAATAGATTTATCTTCTAGCTCTGATAGTTGAGAGGGCTCAGAGGCTATATTATTCCTATGGGTTTTAAATATTCTTCTCTAAAAGGACACAGGACTTCTTAAAGAAATGGCTATATCCAGGGCTAACATTAGGAAAATACAAGATGAATTTCTGAGTGTTCAGACAATAATGAGGCATTTTAAAAGACAAATGGTCCAGTCTGAAAGGGTTCCTATTGGCCAAATTTGGGACAATTTTAAGCATATTAAGCTCACTGAATATAATAGCACATGGGTACATCTAGTACACATGAAAAAGAAAGAACTCTTTGTTCTATTTGAAAAGCAACTAAAAACTAAAGAAGGAAAGACAAAATTAGAAAATATCCATTTCACAACTAATGAAATAAAAGAAAAATGGATGCTAAAAATAGCTGATGAAGGTTTAAGGAGGAAGAGAATATTTACAAAGAGACATTAATAATTACAAAGAGAAAATAATTTTACTGTTACAGAAGTCAGAAAAGCATCACCTTATCCAGACAATCAAAATTAATATGACCACTCAATGGGACAAATCATCATTATGTGCCTCCTGAAGTGATGCTCTGAGTAAAACACAAAAATACTTCTGTGGTATCCTCCCAAGCATTTATAACCCAAATCTAATCATGAGGAAACATCAGATAAAAAACAAATTATGGGACATTCTAAATAATACAATACATTCAACACTACTTCAAGATTATAAAAGACAAAGGAAAGCTGGGAATTGTCATCAATTAAAAGAGAAAAAGGTTATGACAAATAAATGCAACCAGAAAACTGAGGTTTTTTTGTGTTATAAAAGATAGTATGGGGAGAATTAGTGAAGTGAGATCTGTAGGTTATTCAATAGCATTACATCACTGTCAATTCCCTAATTAACACTGTTTTGAAGTTATGAAAGATAGTAACCTTCTTTTTTAGAAATATTTAGAGAGAAAGTTTGAGGAAACATAAGTAGTTCAGTAAAAAGTGTTTACATACAGAGAGGAAACCACAAGCAAATATGGTAAAACATTAACTAGGGAATCTGCATGAAGGGTGTATGGGATTTTTTTTCTTGCAAATTTTCTGTAAATTTGAAGTTACTTCAAAATAATGCAAAAATAGTAAGTAAGGCATATTTGAAAAGAACAAAATAAAAAACAAACAAAAAATCCCGTGTCAATACTCTGACCTGAAGAATCAGAGCCTTACTATATTGGTACAAACTGAAAAGTGTTTGGACTATTAAGTATGCATGGGAAGTCTAAGAAACTTGGAATTCAAAATAATATAGATCAGTTGTCACTTCAAAATAATCAGTGGTTTTTGTGGGAGAAAGTGTCTCTTAATACTTTTTGCTTCTGTTTCATAGAAGCTGTGTGTTTCTGCAAGTCATCAGTTTTCTGTACTTTCTTCCTTGTCTAATAATAAATCACTTTCAGGGGTATGCTCTTCCTTGAAGGCTCAGGATGATGACCGCTTTCTCTTTCAGAAGAGAAAACCACTAGTCTCTTTCCACTTTTTTTTTCCTGGTACACATACTTTGAGTGAGGGCAGATGTTTTTATCTGTGGTATATATAAAATATAGGGGGCCATGTTTAGCTCTCTTACTTGCCCACATTTGTGCTGGTCAAGTGCCCATTTCAGATTTGATAATGGACAGCAGTTTGATGTGCTGTTTGACTCCTACTCTAGTTCTTAGTATTTCTTAGGGTCTAAAATAATGAAGAGCTGCTGATTTGATATAGTACATTCTTCTACCTACAGTGCTCAGCTCTATGAAATCCTGAAGAGATGGGGTTCCTTAAAAAAAAAAAACCCAAAAAACAGAATGCAGAATTCTCTTCTCCTCTTTGCCTCTATTCAATACTCGTAATTTGAGAAGTATACTCTCGAGTTATAACACACACTGTTCAATGTCAACTCCCTAAGTATTGTCCATCACCCCAGGTGGCTTTGGGAGATAGAATCTTTGGATGAGTACATAAAAGGAAATACTAATGGAGTTTGGTGGTGTAAATTGTCCTCTGTTTGCAACAGACAGTAGTGGGATGATTGGGTGCATGGACAGTAGGGAAAAGAGGTATGTGTCTTCTTGCTTCTAGGTAGAAAGACTTACCCACATTTGTTTAGGTGGGATGTGGGCTGTGTTTTTAAATTAAGTTTCACCAAACATGCAGATAATAGAAATTTTTTCCAGAATCTGAAACTAGAAAGATTGTCAGCATTTTCAGTGTTATGAATTATGTTTTTTTTGTCTTTCTGCTTCTTTATGGGCATTTTAATAGGCAGTTGAAAGAAGTGTATTTTTAGCTGCAAGCCAGATGCAATTTTACAGTAAAATCTTGGATGAACTGGCCATGGCAAAAAGTATGGAGTAAGCAAATATGCAAAATCTTCAAAGGTATATAAGCAAACAAAAAGTATTTGAAGAAAAAAGTCATTCACATTGTAACATGACCTAGCAAAAAAAGTATTTTAGAGCCAGGCATGGTGACTCATATCTGTAATCCCAGGTATTTGGGAGGTGGAGATCAGGAGGATTGTGGTTGGGAGCCAGCCTGGGCAGAGTCAGCAAGACCCCATCTCAACCAATAAGCTAGGTATAGTGATGCACACCTGTCATACTTGCATGTGGGAGGCATAAATAGGAGGATAGTGGTCCAGGCCTACCTGGGCAAACATATAAAACCCTACTCAAAAAATAACTAAAAGGAAAAAAGGATTGGGTATATGGCTCAAGTGGTAGAGTGCCTGCCTAGCAAGCTCAAGGCCCGGGGTTCAAACCCCAGTACTGTCAAATAAAAAAGAGAGCATTCTAGAAAGATCTGTTGAATAGTCCACTGAAGACCCAAATGGAAACATCATTCTTTTCACCTCAAATAGTTGCAATTAATTGGCATATTTTATAGCTACTAAAAGTAAAAGGAAAGAAGGTAATATAAAATTAATATTTTTCTCTAAAAATTGAGTTATCTACTTAAATAAGACAGTGATTTCTACTGCAGATTAGCAATGAGTTTAGGACACTTTTCCACTACCATACACACCTCATTTTCAACTTTCTTGAAGTTTAAATTAACCTTAAATATTAGGTCAGTGTCACGTCTATTTAGTGTTAAGGTAACTACTGGTGAATGCCTTTTTGCACAGCAGCAAAGGGCATCCCTTTTTGGTAGATGCTCATAGGTTCACAAGACTTTATTTTAGCCTCGTGCTGACTCCCTTGACCAGGTATCGGTGTGCAGTGTATATACTACACGAATGTACGTAGCAGGCCTCTCTCATTCAACATTGCAACATCAAGAGGGGAAAATATCTTGAGTATCATAAAACTAAAGTCACATTAATTTAAAAGATTGAAATCTTCACACTGGTGGGTCATGCCTGTCATCCTAGCTACTAGGAGGCACAGATGAGCAGATTGAGGTTTAAGGCCAGCCTGGCAAGAAAAGGTATATGAGACCCTCATTTCAAGGGGAAGAAGCTGGGCATGGTGGCGACTTTCTGTCATCCTAACTGTATGTGGGAAGTGTGAAAGAGGAGAATTGCAGTCCAAGCTAGAACTGGCAAAAAGCAAAACCTTATCTCAAAAATAATGAGAGCTAAAAGGGCTGGAAGTGTGGCTCAAGGGGTAGAGTAATTGCCTACCAAGCAGAATCCCTGAGCTCAAATCTTAGTAACCACCAAAAAAATTGATAGGTCAATTTTAAACCTATGTATATATTTATGCGAAATTATTAAGAGAAATAAATATTTGTGCAAATTACTGGAAAAAATATAAGGAAAATTCCCAGGATGTCTGGTATGTAAGGATGTGCAAGGATGGCAATTTAGCTAACATGCACAAGGCAAATGTGCACTTGATTTCTGGAGCACCAAGAGAACAAACCCAGGTGTAATGAATATAATAAATACAATCACAGTAGTTTGGTTTTCTCTTACTGCGATTGATCATATCTGGCAACTTAGTGATTATTACAGTTTTTATAGTAGCTCAAACCATTTTATATAGACCACTAAATATCTATTAGAGTATACTTAAATCACACTACTTCTATACTTATTTTTGAAACTCTGTTAAGAGACCTAAGATACATGTTTTATTATTTTTGAAGTAAAAAAAATACATAATTTCAAAAATTATGCATATTTTTCTAAATATAGGTACTTCTTTTGTGAATGATTAAAATGATTAAAACAGCAGATTGTAAGGTTTTCCAAAGAAGATTTTTGCTGTCTTTGTTAAATGTTACAAAGTACAAAATAGATATGTACATACATATGTACATATTTGTATGTACATATGTACATATACTCACTGAATTGGCATTTGTTGGGTTTGGCCAAGGTCTACCGCCACCTGGACCCCTGTAAAACAATATAAAAAAATAAAATTTTACTCTGTGCATTAACTGTTTACCCACAAGTAACAACAAATAAAATATTAATATTTTTAATTCAGTTACCATACACAATTCTAGCTAAGCATTGAAATTACTCTTTATTTTAATAACTTTATTTCTTAAATGAAAAAATTTTATCATTCCATAAAACAGTTTCCTCACAAATCAAACTATGTTTAGCAAAGGCAATTTTATTTTAATGTTGGTTATTTATTCTTATAAATAAAAAATTATAATCACCTATAGTTATACGTATATGTACCTAAATTAAAGTAAGAAGTAATAATTATGAGATAAACATAAACTAGAATCAGTGACATCAATATAATAGCCACTTGTATCTCATTCAAACAGAAATTATTTATAAAATAGCTGTATATATAAAAGTATTTCTTTTATGCTACATGGGTTGTCTCTTTTCAAAAATATTACAGAGTACCATATATGTATCTGTATATCAATCTATCATTCAGTGTTATTTATTTAACTATTATTAAGTAAAGATATCATTTTTTGTTTTCATAATTTCAGTTCAAGATAGTAGTTAAAATAAGCCTTAGAAAATAGGACATAATCTAGTCCAATGCATGGCCACATATTCTTTCATTTTAAAGTAGAGAAGAATGCTTTGTATTCCATATCTTATAAGGACATAAAATAACATAAAATTAAATGTTAAACTTATTGTTACACATAACATAAAATACCTATAATGTATTTCAATTGTTTTATTAATATAATGTAGTCTCAGAATACTATATACTTCATACTAAACTTAATTTTGGTATTAGAAAGGTTATAAATTAATAATTCATATGAAAATGCTTTAATTTTCACAAACAGACCTGAATAAAGTGCTGATTATACAATGAGTAGTTTTAATAGGACAACTAAGTAAATTCAGTAATATTCCCACTCCTTTTGGAAGTCATCAGTATAATCAAGAAAGCAACCTACGAATTATAATATAGACATTATTTTGAATGAAAATTTCTATGTAAGTATACTTTGAAGTAGAATCAGGATAGCCTCACTTAAAAATAAAGATAATAGTCAAATTTAAAAGAAGTCCAGATTTTTTGGAAAAGGTGTCTATTTTGATGAAACCAAAGCAATCATGGCTATTAAGGAGAAAATTGTTCTTGTGGAATTCACACCCATTTTAATAACTATACAACCTAAATAATTACACATGACATGACATAAAAATAAGATATAACAAGAAGATCCTTTAAATCTTTTTATCCTCTATTTCTATAACAAAGTTGAATTAAAAGTGTTTTAGTACTGAATTCTGAATTCTTTAGAAATTTATAAAATTGTAGTCCACTTAGAAATGTACCACAATTTAAGTTTTCTTTTAAAAACAATCTACAACGCATTTGAAAACATTTAAATCTCGGCCATAGTTTGTAAATGTACTTTAAAAGTTATAATATTAGTTAGAGAAACACTGAAAGCAAACTTTTAATTTTAACCGACATTTTGTGTCATTCATTTCTAAATTCATTTATAAATTTAGAACATGGACATGTAAAGATTGCATCATTTTCTTTGGAGGTAGCCAATTTTTTCCTAGCACAATTAACAAAATTTTGTTCCAAATGGTTTCTTCTGCAATAAAAGGATACAGTTTCCAGTTGAACAGCATTTTTAATTATTTTAGTGGTCAAGGTTAGGTATTTTTCATTGTCATTATAATCTCATGGCAAATATGAATGGCAAGCTAAACAAAAATCAACCACATTTTCTGGCAGACTTCTTCTGAGTGCCAGCACACAAATATTTTAGTTAAATAGTTTAAAGACAGAGCTTAAAGTAACACTATTCTAGTGTCTTTCATTTTAATTTTTAAGTAGCTCATGTAAACAAAAAAGTGACATGAAGAAAGCACAAATATCAGTTAGAAATACTTGTTTGCTATTATACACTTAATTGGTTTTAAAGATACTAAATTATGAAGTGAATTTCAATTAAGCTTATTCTACATAGTACAATAAAGATAGTATGTGTTTTATTTTTTATGTTTCTTTAAATTCATTTTTTGATTTGTTGGGGCCAATGTCAATACAATAATTATTTTCTCCGACAGGAAGTTACATACTTGAGACATCTCCCTGCCAGAGAAAAACATTTGTAAGTGTAAATACATATTTATAATTTCACTGTTTTCAAAAGAATTTATAGACAATGGAAAATGGACTCCAAATCAAAAGAAATAGTAACAAATAATTGAAATTGAAATCTGTAAGCCTTAAAAGGTCTTTAAGAACCAGAAATTATAATAGTAGTAAAATGTTAGGTAATAGATAAGACTTAAAAGTACCTTAGAATTCTTAAGAAACCCAAACCCAAATATCCACAGAAATAATCACATTAAAATTTTCAGTCATATATTTAGTCTTCACAGTCTTGGGAACTGAATGCTTAAGAACATATGTTAGAAAGGAACTAGAAATTTTAAGCAACTATTTGAGTCTCTCAATAGTCACATGAAAATAATTTTTTTTCCATACTAGCAAAAACATGTTGACCTTAAATAGGCCATATGGTCAATTATAATGCAAAGTAATGTACAAAATGGTATCAGATACAGTCTTATATCTAATGATAGCTCTGAGTTGATCATAGCATTCAGAATTCATTCAAATCTATTGCAATTTAAAGTGAGAATCTCAGGCAGGTAAACTTGATATATTTCTTCATTCTATTGGTAGAAGTTTTAGCCTTGACATGAGCATAAAATATCATCCACTCCTTTTTGTAGCAACCATTAATAAAAGGCTAAGCCTTTGAGGAATTCAAGAAGAGTCAGACTTCATGTCTATCCATTTTTATTTTAAAAGCCAAAAGATGTATAGGAAAATTTGACCTACTTTTCCCCAGTTCTGTTAGTTTTAAGTCTGGCTGATACCAACCTATTAACCTATTTTCAACTTTAGGAAAAACTGCATCCTATGAAAATGGTTTCAAAAACTTAAAAAAAAAATCCAACATACATCAAAGAAGCTTATTTCACAGTATATCCTCAGTGCCATTAAATGATGCTAGAGTTGTTTCGTTTCATATGTAAGGAACTAAAATATGGACTGATGGGAAGTAAATCTAAGAAGGCATCCACAAATCCACATGAAACACTTTAATTACCTCTGATAACCTTTTTTAAGGCCACACCATGGAACTGATCCCTGGTGAATTAATGAAAGTCACTAACAAACACCAAGTGTGTAGGGGCCTTTGAGGGAAGTTAGATAATGAAAAACAAATAAAAATTCTGCAATGAGCTACATTACATTGGGTAATAGAAAAAACTACTCTCTTTTGACTGGAAAGGTTTTTCCAGTAAAAAACAAGCAAGCAAGCAAGCAAGAAAACAAAAGCAAAACAAAAAATCTTTTATTTATTTTTTACCTAAGTGCATCTTGAATTTTCACAAAGAAAATTCATCCTATACCACAAAAAGTTCCTTAATGTAAAAGATACTACCAGAGAGAATTCTTCCTGTGTTGAGAGTGGTCCAAACAAATAAAAGTAAAGACATATATATTTATAAGAGCTAAAATTCCACTCTTAGGAATCACTGTGTATCTGTTAAAATAAGATCAACAATTTTTGATTATCTACTTCTGTAGAGTTAAGGCATAGTCCTGGTGACAGCATCTTTTAATACTTTTGTATAGACTCTACATGAAGACTATGTAGTTTTTAAAAAAGAAGTGGACTAAAAACTACAATTTATGGAACCCAAAAATGGAAAAAAAGTAAAGGTTGCAAGGGAAGGAAGAAAATATGATATTATGTAATGAAAATGAAGTACATACTGCAGATCATGTTTAGTTCATTTTTATACTGTACAGAGATTGAGATGCTCGTGTTGTTTAAAAATCAGTGTCATTTTAGAAGACAGAAAATAGAACACTTTACTAAACATAATAATATAGCATTTTGCTTACATGTTCATTCCAGGCATTCCAGGACCACCTAAAGCATTCAGTGGGGGTCTCATTGCACCTCCATAGTTCTGTAATGATAACCAAGGGTCAGACTACCACAAAACAAAAAAACAAAACCAAAGAGGAGGGGGGAAAGAAAGGAGAGCAGGTTAATGATTTCCCTACATAACTCCTGATTGGTATGGCCTGTGTAATTCATTCTTTGAAGAGTCCATTCTTGTACTTTTACTTCTATTTTAACAATTACTTTGGTTTGTGTCTTAAAAACTACATGAATATGGAGATCATTGGAGCATGTTAAATGATTAAGGTTTGGTTGAAATCATGATATTTGACATATATTTGTTAGCTTCATTATATCTGTACATTAGTAAACTTTTCCAAATAAAACATTTCATAAATCCAAAATGTAGAAAATATTTATTCAACAGGTTTTTAAAGAAAAGGTTTATTCAATAGGTTTGAAATAGTCAGACTCAGAATAATTACATGAAGTCTGGGGAAATAAAACAAAACAAAAACCCAAATCAAGAAAGTCAAATACAAACTTCTGTTCACGAAATAACATATTTGACATATCTGTATATATAAAAATATACAAAATGAATTATATGACCCAGTAAACTTTAGCTAACATCTACTACCTGCATTCAAAGGATGAATAACACTTTAACGTTTTATATGCATACCATATTAGCTTAGTTTAGTTGCCTTACAGCCCAGAAGCTTACTTTTATCATTATTATATAAATGTATTTTGACACTATCATTGACTTTCACACTTGCATTCCTGATACTACTATTCTTACTACTTGTGTGAATATTCTTTTTCAATTTTCTTTATTGGTTCCTTTCATTTTGTAAATTATTCTTTTTGAATGCAATTTCTTAATCTTTATTACCTTCCTATTTTTATTTTTTTCTGTTATTAGGATATATTCGTTGTATAGGGGGATTCATTGTGACAATTCCAAATAGCCTTACATTATACATTGGTTAGATCACCACCACCATCTCCCCCCACCCCCAAACCCCTCCCTGTCTTACTTAAAGCAATTGCAAGAGGTTTCATCATACTATTTCATATATGTATATGAAACTCATCAACCGTATTCCCTCAACTTCACATCCTCCGTTCCCCCATCCCCTTCACAACTCTTTAAATGTTGGTTTTTCTCAAATTCTAGCCACAGTATTCTTTTCAATACATACATACTTACGTATGTATTGAATTTTATCACTACAATTTTTTCAACAACTATTTATGTTAGGAATTCAAAATATTTATATTTTGTCTTAGTATCCTGCCAAGTTCCTAGATAACTTGTATGTTGAACTTCGCAGGGACTCTTTCTACTAATACCACCTCATGTTCAACATATTTAAAATCAATATTATCTTTTCATGACTGAATTTGTTGTAGTTGTCATTGTTTTGTTTTGCTTGCTTTTTTAATGGTACTGGGGGTTAAACCCAGGGCCTTGCGTTTGCTTGGCAAGTGCTACACCCCCTTCCCTGACACTTTTGTTTCTGAGGTAGGGTCTTGCTAACTTTGCCCAGGCTGGCTTTGGACTTGAGATCCTCCTTGCCTCTGCCTCCCCATTAGCTGGAATTACAGAGAGGTATCACCACGCCCAGCTACGAGTAAGTTCTTTATATTGTCTCCCTCAGTTCTGTATCATCACACAATAGTCCATGCTAAGAATTTCAAGGAGTTCCTTAACATCTTTTCTTTCAAATTCTCATATTTATCCAGGGAAAAGTCTATTGATTCCATCTGTGAAATAACTCTTGAAATAGCACTCGCTTTCCTATCTCTAATCTTTGTCAATGTATTGAGGCTACTGTACTATCTTAATTGGTCTCTCTGATTTGCTCCCTTTCCCAATCTGTTCTCATATTGCCTCAAGAATTATCTTTCTATAATTCTGTCTTATTCATGCCACTTAAAGGTTATGATGAGCCCAGAGCCAGTGTCTCATGACTATAGTGCCTAGCTCTGTCCTAGGCAGAGATGAGGAGAATTGCAGTTCAAAGCCAGCCTAGGCAAATAGTTCCTGAGACCCTATCTTGAAAATACTCAACACAAAAAAAGGACTGGCAGAGTGGCTCAAGGGGTAGAGTGCCTGCCTAGCAAGTATGAGACCCTGAATTCAAACTCCAGTACCATCAAAGTCTAAACTCTTTAGCATGGCTCTATGAAGTCTTCACAGCTCAACCCTAACTTATTTCCTGCCTCATTTCCTATAATTTTTACCTTCCTTCCTTGCTCCCTACAATATTTTTTCAGACTACTGGATTTCTCTAAGTCAAAAACATACAGTACATTTTTGAGCTCATTTTAACTTATCTTCCTGGGTCTTTTTTGTAGCATATGTTAAAATGACAAGGAAATAAATCAATGAGAAAAGGTCTGTTAATTCTGGAGAGAAAGACACACTTGATAAATGAAATTAACTCAGTTACATGCTACTCTCATTGTCTATCTGCTTTTACTTTAAGGAAATCTTATTTCAAGATCCCAACTTGTGAGCCATAAGATAGTGGAATAGTTTCTATACATAACTGAGCCATTTGTTAAAAGGGTAGCTATTTGCTTTAAGCTTTTAATCAAGATAGTGTAGCAGTAATTAACCAGAGGCTTCCGAGAAAAAAATTAGCCATGGAAACAAAATACAAATGATAAAGTAAGCCAGAAATATTTCATAAGGAAACACTTCCCTTATTTTTAAGTCTTAGAAGATTTTCATTTTATTTTATCAAGGAAAATATTAATTTTCCTTATCACTTTGATATAGAAATATATTGGTTTGAATCTGTATTGACATAGTCCTATGTTTTTTGCCTCCTGATCCTTTTGAGAGTCTCACGATGTAGTCCGAGCTAGCCTTGTACTCATGATCTTCAGTCTCAAGCTTACAGTATAAGCCATCACATATAACTGCCCTTCTTTTCTTTATGTGTGATCTTGGGCCAATGATTCTCCCAATATTACTTTCCTTATCTGCAAAGTGAAAATATTATCTTTCTTACAGACTGTTGAAAGATAAATTAAATATAAAGTACTTATCACAGTGCCTGATGAATTAAAAATGTGGTATTTGGTGCTCAAATAACTGTAGCTCCTAATTCTTTCTTATGACTGCTAATAAAACTTAAATGAGTCCTCTTTTTCTTAGCTTCCTATTCCTCCTCAACTCTCTGTTAATGACTTGCCTGTTTATGTGATGACTTCTTGAGTCATTATATAAGGATATGTATATTTGTTTTCTAGACTTTCTAAAAAAAGTTATATAGTAGTTTGGCTAGATGTATCTACATCTCCTGGTAAACAATAAGTACCTTGAAGGCAGAGTCTATATTTTCTTCACCTTTGTATACTTGATGCTCAAGAATGATGTATGGCACAAAATAGGCCTTCAGTGAATGATGGGCTTATTAAACTGAATTGTCACAGGAAATGAGTAAGGAATTATTTGATGCTCAGTACATATTTGATAAACTTATGAAATATTTTCACTTTGTGATTAATCTAAAGCAAAAACCAATCAGGAGAGAAAGAAAAAAAAAGAATAGCAACAGGTTTTCTAAGTGGCATCAACAAAGGCAGAATAGGAAGAGCTAATTTAGAATCACTGAATTTTAAAGCTGATAGCAACTATACAATTCCATCTGGTCTAATCTTTCTTCCAATGCAATATTCTGACAAAATGGCTGTTCAACTCTGCTTAGAAAGTTTATTAAGAGTCTTTCCATGACTGGACAGTTTAATTTGTAGGAAGTTTGCCCCTGTATTGAGCTGAATTCTACCACCTATGTTAGATTTGAAAATATGGAATCCGTTTTTTCTCTCTATGAGAGTACACCATGTATTCTCATCCTGCAATTTCTCCATCCCAAAAGATTTGAAAGGCTTACTTGCATATAACTTATTTGTCAGATTTTGAGAGGAACTAGAGATAATTGTACAGTTAGAATGGATTTTTTTCTGTTAATATGGCACTTGCTGAGTTTAAGGATAAGGTTAGCTAAGTATATTTTATTACAAAAAGCAAATAGAAAATGGCTTCAAATATGGTATTAGGAGAAGTATTTCCTTTTTTTTCTTTCTTTCTTTTTTTTTGGTAGTACTGGGATTTGATCTCAGGGCCTCGTGCTTGCTAGGCAGTTGTTCTACCACTAGAGCCACAACCCCAGCATTTTTTTCGCTTTAGTTATTTTTTGAATAGGGTCTTATGTTTATGCTCAGCAGGCCTGGACTATGATCTTCCTATTCATTTGTAGCTGGGATGACAGGTGCCACCACACCCAGCTTTTATTGGTTGAGATGGGATTTTGAAAACTTTTTTGCCTGGGCTGGCTTTGAACCATGATTCTCCCTGACCTCCACCTTCCTAGTAGCTAGAATGTGAGCCACTGTACCCAGTGACATTTTCTTTGAATAAGATAATGTTCTATAAAATAGGCAATTTTGTTTTTCTATTGAAAGGACATTAGTATCAATTTAAAAATCATGACTGTTACTATACTTAGCTCTAAAATAGATTAAAGGATGGGATAAATATGGCTGAATTGGGGGCAAACTTTTATTTCTTCATTCATACAATAGGTGTTAATCACACATTTACTGTGTTCTATGTTTACAATTTGCATAAATCAGCATTTTTCAACAATTGTTAGACTGTATATTTTTTGTTTAGAACCTCAATTGTTCCACTAGATGGCTACTATTCCCCTTTAAGCTCAAGAAAATATAGAAGTTTATGAAAGAAGAGATGAATATTTTGTGCATAAAGGTACAAATAAAATTCCAGAGGCTGTTCCTATAATATAACTAAAAATAAGGCAGATGCAGTCTGCTCTTGGGTAGCATCTACATTGTTAAATGTATGTTGTGTGGATTGTTTTTCTATTCTCTTTCAAGAAATTCCGCTAACCTCCTTTATCACAAATTTCACAATTTATAATGCATACATCTTATATGGCAGGTATTACCAAGTAAAAACATTAGGAGAGCCAGGTGCCAGTGGCTCACACCTGTAATCCTGACTACTTGGGAGGCTGAGATCAGGAGGATTGAGAGTTGAGGCCAGCCTGGGAAAATAGTTTATGAGACGCCAACTCCAAATAACCAGAGCAAAATGGACTGGAGGTATGGCTGAAGCAGTAGAGTACCTGCTTCCCAAGCATGAAACCCTGAGTTTAAACTCCAGTCCCACCTAAAACAAAACAAAATGAACAAAATAACTGAAGAATCCTCCCATTCTAAACGATTTTACCTTTTTTTCCCATGACTCTTACTTCATATGATAAACATTTCCTTTAACTCTTTTTACTTCATGTATTATGGTTTTACAAAGTTATTATAGTTATTTCTGGTTTCTGAGGTAAATTCATGCCAAGGCACGAATATGAGGGATCATATTATATAGAAATAGATTGCAAAGACACTGTTAATCCAAAGGAAAGAAATAAACTACTTACTTTTTTCAATTCTGAAAATGCAAAGTATGCATACTTTGCATCAATAAGAGATAACTCATTAGAAATAAGTTTATCTGTTATAATTTATTTATAACAAAATATATAACTATTTATAATATAAAGCATAAAGACAAGTATATTTTCAAATGAAATTTAAGTGTTCATATAGCTTATTTATCCATCATTACCTTTTCAAATACTGTAATACTGATTTTTATATCTAATTTTTTTTTCTTTGGTGGAACTGGGGTTTGAACTCAGGACTTCATGCTTATAAAGCAGGCATGTTCAAGATGCCCCAGCACAGACGAATGGATTAAGAAAATGTGGTATCTATACACAATGGAATTCTATGAAGCCATGAAGAAGAACGAAATGTTGTCATTCGCTGGTAAATGGATGGAACTGGAGAACATCATTCTGAGTGAGGTTAGCCTGGCCCAAGAGACCAAAAATTGTATGTTCTCCCTCATATGTGGACATTAGATCAAGGGCAAACACAACAAGGGGATTGGACTTTGAGCACATGATAAAAGCGAGAGCACACAAGGGAGGGGTGAGGATAGGTAAGACACCTAAAAAACTAGCTAGCATTTGTTGCCCTTAATGCAGAGAAACTAAAGCAGATACCTTAAAGCAACTGAGGCCAATAGGAAAAGGGGACCAGGAACTAGAGAAAAGGTTAGATCAAAAAGAATTAACCTAGAAGGTAACACCCATGCACAGGAAATCAATGTGAGTCAATGCCCTGTATAGCTATCCTTATCTCAACCAGCAAAACCCCTTGTTCCTTCCTATTATTGCTTATACTCTCTCTACAACAAAATTAGAAATAAGGGCAAAATAGTTTCTGCTGGGTATTGAGGGGGGGGAAGCGGGAGGGGGTGGAGTGGGTGGTAAGGGAGGGGGTGGGGGCAGGGGGGAGAAATGACCCAAGCCTTGTATGCACATATGAATAATAAAAGAAAAATGAAAAAAAAAATAATAAAGCAGGCATGTTACTGCTTGAGCCACATCTCCAGCTCATTTTGCTCTAGTTATTTTGAAGATGTCTTCTGAGCTATTTGCCTGGGCTGGTCTCTATCACAATCCTCCTAATCTCAACCTCCCAAACAGTTAGGATTACAGAAATGAGCCACCAGCACCCTACTAGTTCTAATTTTTAGAAGTATTGAAAATTAATACTAGTTGTGTGTGTTGGTGCATGCCTGTAATTCCAGTACTTGGCCAGAAGAGCTATGGAGAGGCTGAGGCAGAAGGATTGTGAGCTCAAGGCCAGAGAAATCCTGTCTCAAAAAACAAACAACCACAAACAAGAAAATAACCCCCCCCACACACCAAAACATAACAGAAAAATAGAATAAAAACTCTTATATTCATAGTAGTCTGGGAATGACAAGAATTTAGAGTGGCTAGCTGAAAAATAAATGAGCTAGATGAAGAATGACAAGTAAATTAAAGGCATGAAGTTTTGATGTACATTTAAAATGTATCTGTTAAGAAAACCTTTTGGAAAACAATCCTTTAACTTCTATTCACCCAAATTGGTTGATATAGTTTATCAAAGACTAAAAGTTTCATTTAGTCAATGAGATATGTTCTAGATGTTATAAATTCTAACTGCCATAAGTAGTCTAATGATGGTTGGTTAACATAAATCACTATTTCTAGTATGAGTAGAAATAGGAAAAGTAATTTAAATATCTAAATAAGAGTTTTATAAAGTCTTAAGAAAATACACAGTAAAAAACTGACCCTTAGTAAAGAAACTGGTGAATTTTTTCATGTAATATGGAATCTCTGAGAAATTTGGTTATACGAACCTCATGTTTCAATATAGTTTATATTATTATATGTTGGTTAGAAACTCCTAAGTCTAAAGGACATTATCTCAGTGTTGTATTCTTAATTCTTTGATTCCATTGGCACTATAATAGTCAATTTAATTATTTAAAAGTAGATATATGAAACAAGCTACAAAACTTATAATGCTTACAAGTGGTACCAAAATGACATGGTAACTTTCACTCATGTGTTAGAAATTTAAAAATGATTTTGGATTACTTTCTTTAAATACACATTATAAAATTAATTTCTATCCCAAGCAGTTTTTCCAAAAGAGATAAAAGAATGTTTTAGCCAAAATAAATAATATCCTAAAACAGCATGCTTAAAATATCAACAGTCAGCATAGGTTCAACTTCAGTGTATTCTTTTTTGGAAATACTAACAGAAGTTGGGTAACATCTGAATCATACCAACAATATTATCCTTGCTCAGTATGACACATTTTAACATTTATTGCTAAATGGTTTTCTAATATTTTAAATAAGAAAAATATACTTGTATATAATAAGTTGCCAAGGACATTCTTTAAAAGACTTATAGAAATACATTTTATGCTAATTCTATTCAGTATTTTCAATTAGCTGGACTTTATTTAACTTAACCATTTTCTTACCTAACTAAGGGTAATAGCTCCCTTTTTATAATACTTGTTATAATGTATTTCTATGCAGTATAGTTTCCCAAGTAAACTAAAGACAAATATGATAGCACCCTCTTAAAATACAGTTTGTTGTTATATCAATTTGGAAATGTCACAAATATCCTCAAGAGCCTAATAAGTATTAATATCTAGACTTTTTTTGGCTTGTTGTGGGTGTGCTGAGGATTGAGTCCAAGATGCATACTAAATATGTGCTCTACACCCTCAGCCCCAATGTACATCAAGACTTCATTGCATATACTAAAAATTAGCAAATAATACAATCTGTATTATTTTGTATTATTAACTGTATTATTATTATCTGTATTATTAAGATGAACACAAAAAGCTCAGCATCCACCTTTCTGTGCTGATTATTTACCTGTGGTCCTAAGGGTACCATTCCTCTCGGAGGAGTCATTCTCTGCATTGGCCCACCCATATTTGGATGTCCTGAAAAAAAATTAGCAATATAATGGTCATGAATGCTAAATTAAAGGCCAGCTTCCTCCCTGCTAGGCATAATGATGTCTTATATAACAAGTGTCTGAGTGACTGATGCCATCTTATCTTGGCTTCAGTGGATTTTTTTTTTTTTTAACCTCTGACCATCACCTATCTACACTCTCCATTAACGTCTTGGTTGAAATTTCCTTCCTACTTTGTGCTGAATTACTTCTCTCACAGCATTTGCTCCTTTTTCCTTGGAAAAGTGTAATACAGCCTTACATATTTGTGCTGCCTTAATATTTCTATGGAAGGAACTAATGATGGGGATTGCCAAACTAATTAAGTCACCTGTTACTTAGCACTCTTCCTGTGTATTAACCCCTCTATCTGAAAAAAGACAGAGGAGATAATAAATGAGATAGTCACTTAGCTATTCCTGATTATTAGAAGTTATATGAAAACATGTTCAAGATGATATTAGCTAAAATATGGAATTTTTGACATTTATGTATATATTTTTTATGTTCTCAACACCCTCAATATTATGTATAAATAAGAGTTAGCTGAAAAGATAAAACATCTTGCCGTGTTACTTGCAAAAATGCAACTAGTAATATTATGGAAGTTTTATACAAATAAAATTTTCCTTAAACAGTGAAGAATTTCCTCTTTGGTTCTGCATATCAGTTTTACTTCTATTTTAATCACCTTGTTGTCGTGTTGGGTCCATTCCACTGGGAAGTAATGGCTGACTTCCTGGGACGCCTCCAAGTGCCTAGCAATTTAATAAAACAAAATAAAAAACAGTACTGTAAATATTTATAAAATATATGCTTTAGACAATTTCTTTTTATATTTCTGTAACAAAACACATTGAGTATATTTCAAGATTTTTATATTTCACACTTATTTATAAATTTTATAGTTCTATATACTTAGTGTAAGTTCTCTACTCTAAAAAGATCCTGTTTTGCCCAGTTTTGTGGTAAGTAAAATAACTACTTGGGAGAACAAAAGTCTACACAAAAACCATTTGAAATCCTCTTCAGAAATATAATGCCTTTTCTGAAATTTAATTTGTCAAGGTTATTGAAATAACTAATTATGCTTCTTAAAAGTAAGCTATTGTTTTTATAGAATATTTTATTTATTAAGTGCTATGATAGGAGCAAGACTAAAATGCCAAGGGACCAATGAATTTTTTTTTCTGTAGTTACATTTTCCCTAAGAACCTATTTAGAAAAATATTTCAATTAAATTCAAACAACTGGCTATTTGGGGAAAGGGAATAGAACTGAAAAAGATTGCATTTAATAAGGTTTGTTTTATGCTGGGGTGCAAAACAGACAAGCTGTGTTTTATGCAGGCATACATACTGAATTATAAGTTTCAAATTGTCTGAGCAGCACTTTGAGGTGGATTAAGCACTACATGATTTAAGCCTGCTGATCCTATGAGTATTTACATACATATATACAGTCCTCATAGTAAGAATTTCTATAAAGGTTCACTGATTTAGCTTAAAGCATGAAAATATTATTTTATTAAATATTCAGATATCTCAAAATAAATTTAACATTAATGAACTTACACATCCAGATTAGAATTGTTTCATCCATTGTTACCACTTGAGATGCAGTAAAGAGCTTTAATTTCTCAAGCCAGTTTTTGTAATTCTTTGAATTTTTTGCTTGCAAGCACAATCAATACGTATTCATTGAGTTCCTATCTTATGAGCTATTCCCTGCTTACCTTTCAGCCTAATTTCTTCCCACTGCCACACTTATATCCTAACTTCCATCTATACCAAATTTTTAAGTTTTTTCTATTCATGCTTTCAATTAATATTTAAATGCCAACTATTAAAAAACAAGACACAATAAAAACTAAAAAAAAAAATCTCCCCTCTAAGGGAGCTCATAGAGCTGGTCTTTGCTGACATCTTTTAGATCCCAATTTAGGGATTACTTCCTTACAACATTCTTTCTTATAGCCCTGACTTGGGTATTTGTGCACGTATGTGTGTGCACTTTTATTTGAATAAAAAATTGCCTCAACAGTGTAAGAATTCTCATATACCTTAATCCAATTTCTCCAGTTAACATTTCAAATTTGCCTTATCACCTTTTCTTCCTCTCTCTTAAATCTTTTCAGGATTACTTGAGTATCAGTTGCAACACAATGCCTCATTACCCACACATACTACAAATATAGTTCCCCAAACAAGCACAGTCTCATACAAAACTATCATAGTTTCAAATCAGGGAATCAACATTGATAAAAACAACAACAACAACAAAATAAACTGCCATTCAAGCCACAAAGATAATTTAAGTTTACCAATTTCTTTCAATAATGCTGCATGTAGTTGTCATGTCTCTTCATGATTGGCTAAGCAGGAAAAAATCCTATCTATGTCTACCCTGTCTACCGTATGTCTAAAATACGACCTGAGTCAGGTCATATGATGCATCATGTGGCACATGATGTTGACTCAACTACTGCTGGTGACGTTAGCCTTTATCATCTTTTTGTATTGCTATCTACCAGATTTCTACACGTCATTATTTTTCCCTCTGATTGATTGATTGGTCTTATTTTTTTTTTAGAACTATTCTCTTATCAATGTCCCATTCTCCATTAGTCCTTTGTTAGCCTCCACTAGTAATTCCTAACCACTGAGATGGTTGCCAAAGGGAGACATTCCATGCCCATTACTGTTTCTGTTTGACAGCTGGCATTTTTACTGTAATGAAGAGTTGTCCTTACTTGTTTATGCTTTCCAATTTTGTTCAATGGGTTGTAATCTGTTAATATCATCATTTATTTAAATGTTCAAATTATGCCAGATTTGGTTAGTGTGAAGCCCTCAAAAATGGCTGTTATGTCTTATTACATACCCCAACATTTTTGAGCATTTCTTCCTTACTTTCTGGTATAAGGTGTTCCAGGTTTACCTCATACTTTTTTGTCCTCATCCTGGAAGCAGCCCTTTCTCCAAAAGATCTTGATTCCTTTTTGCTGAGTACAGCATTTATGCATCAAAATATGGGCAGAGTGTTCTTGTTATTTGGGTATACTGCTTTTAGACTTTTTCAGCCAACAATGGGCTTGAAAATTTATGTATATCTACATATATACATGAACATATATGCATACACATACATTATGACTGATTTTATATCTATTTTTGTGTGTATGTGTATAGTATATCTATATATGTAAATTCATACTCTGTGCAAACACGTATCACAAATTCATTATGTTCCATACATTCAACACCTCCGATTCAAATATGATCCCTTGGGATTATTTTTAGCCTTCTTCCTTTCTATGTTTGGAAATATCTTATCCAACAGTGGGAAACCTGGCCTTTGTTATCCTAAATACAATACAATAAATACACTGATAAGTTAAATAATACAACTCAGCTCCCAACCACACCAGCCACTTCTTTCTAGCTATGTGTGGCCCCCACAGAGCCCTGCATGTCCTAGCATGGAGGAAGGTAAAGACTTTTTATGTGTTCTTTGAGGGTCTTATATCTCACTTTTGTAGACCTGACTACTATCAGGTTGTTTTTTTTCTTTTCTGTTATTTCCAGACTGTAAGCTCTGCAAGAGTAAGGACCCTATCTGTGATTGCTGGCAGAGAAATAAATGTTTATGGAAAGAATAAAGGGAGTAGCATTTAGATTGAATGATTTAGGAATCATTAGTAATAAGGTCATAAACATGGAATAAACTTCAAAGAACAAGAGTAAAAAATAAAGATTTAATTCTTTAAAAATACCAAAAAAGGGTAAGAAAGGAAACTGAAACTAAACATCCATGAAATTAGGAAGCTCCTAATAACACATGAAGAAAGTTCCAAGAAAGAAAAGGGGATCAATACTTCAAAAAATAATAAAGAGATGAAGTATGAAGAAGACTGAAAAATATATGATTAAGCAACATTACCTTGAGAACTTAAAGTTCTTGCTTAGATAAGTTATAAACTCTGGACTTTGACACTTAATTTCCAAGTCTCCTTGCAGAAAATGTTTTATTGCTGGTAACCATTTTCTTCAAGTTTTTACTTTTTCTAGTTTATCTTAGATTATCAGAACAATTGACAGTTATTTCTTTGTTGTTGTTTCTACTCATCACTTAAAATAGAGCATAATTTAGATGAACTCTTGACCAATGTCAATTTTTCTTTCAAAATGTCTTTATCTAAATTTAATTTTTGAGTCACCAGAATTCTTATTCTTTTAGAATAAGTCAAATCTCTAACTTGTATGTAATAGGGGAGCAGGGTGATAGAGAATGAGTAAGTAATAGAGGGGGTTAACCCAATTAAAGTACAATATAGTTATGTGTGAAATGTCATGTGAACCCCTCTTGAATAATCAATAAACACTTAGAAAAATAAAGAACAGAAAGTAAAACAGGTTCTTCCTGGGGCTGGGTACCATAGGGGAGGTAAATGTAGAGGGTGAATATGGTTGATGTACTTTGTATACATATATGAAAATAGAACAATGAAACCTATTGAAATTGTTCTAAGATGGGTGAAGACGCGATAAGGGAGAATGATGGAGGAAGTGAATCTAATCAAGATACACTGTAAACACATATGTAAATGTCACAATGTGTGACATACATTATGAATGATTTTATATCTATTTTTGTATGTATGTGTATATCTACATATGCAAATTCAAATGTCACAATGTGTGACATTTACAACTAATATAGGCCAATAAAAATGTAAAAATTGCAAAACTCTCAAACTTTTAAGACAGTTTTTATTAGTCTTGGGATGAACAGTTGATAGCTTTGTACATCAACAAGAGCATAATCACTGCATTCTTTAAACCCTTAATATCAGAAAAAATAAACTTATACATCTTATGGTTGGCATAATTTCCATGCTTTTAACATATTAAATGTATTCCATTTAGACTTATTTAACTAGCTGTAATTTTGGGATATGTTGTTTGCTCTATCTTTACTCTGATAGAAAAAATAATAGTAATTGTGAAGTTACTTAAAAACAACACATAGTATCAGTGAAAATGTACACTTATGAACCAGAATATCTGTGCTGGAATTGTGCTGAACTCTACTGTTTCATTCAGTCAGTGATTACAGCAATTGTTTGAGGCTGTTATAAATCCTTCTGATGGTGAGAAACCAAGGTTTAATACATTAAGTAATCTAATTTTTCCATGGTTATACTACTGATAAATTAGCAGAGTCAGGGCTTAGAATCCTATCAACACTCAAATATTCTCAAAGAAAAGCCTTAAACACTAGGATTTAACATAAATGAAATGCATAAAATTTTCTCAAAACAGAAACAATTAACTGGAGAAACTGCTTGGTTCGTAAAAGAATTATTTAGTCAATAAGGATGTATCATGATTCCCCTCTAGGAACTTAAGGACTGGTATATTTTCTAGACTAAATGCTTGAATTTCTCAGTGCTTGAAATTGAAATTTTTAGCTTCTTATGTCCTTCAAAGGTAGAAGATAATTAGAAAAAAACATATATCCCAGTATAAATTAAAATTTCAAGACATAAGGAAATAATGTGTTTTTAAAGATATCTCTTTGGATTTCAAATAATAATTTAAATATGCTAATATAATTACCATAACAAAAATATGGAGCTTTCTTTTTTCTTTTTTTGCAGTACTGGGGTTTGAACTTAGGGCCTCAAGCTTGCTAGATAGGCTAGGTGCTCTACCACTTGAGCCACTTCACCAGCCCCATGGAGCTTTTAATGATAGAAAGTGGTATTTTGAACTGGCCAAAGAAGCTACTTTATGCATTTTATCATTAGTCACTAATATATTGAACAGGTACAACATATTCAGCTTTTAAAGTTAGATCCCCTAAAGCCCCTTTCTTTACAATTGCAGCTATATGACTCCTACTATTTACTCAATAAAATATGTTTCTCTTTGTGCAGCTGATGTCTTATGTTCCATACTGAGTCATTAAATAAAAGTCAAACTCTCCATAGAAAAATTTTTACAAAGATAGAAAATTATTGGTAAATGATATGCTAAGTAGTGCTTATCTTGAATAAGAAAACACGAGCCTAGTGCCAGTGGTCACACCTGTAATCCTAGCTACTAAGGAGGCAGAGATCAGGAAGATCTTGGTTCAAAGTCAACCCAGGCAAATAGTTTGTGAGACCCTATCTTGAAAATACTCAACACAAAAAGCAGGGCTAGTGGAGTGGCTCAAGTGGTAGACCACTTAGCTGGCAAACCTGAGCCCCTGAATTCAAACACCAGTACTGACAAAAAAAAAGAAAACATGTGATGAGGAGTAGCTTGAACAGAGGTAACTTGGTTACATGATGGAATGTATATTTATTTACAATATATGAAAAAAATACCCAAACAACTTTTTTCTCTACTGAAATGCCTGTTGATGTTTTCTCCATCTGAGAAATCATGAAGTCTTTTCAAAATCAGCTTATCCTTAGCATCCACTATATTTTCTTCTGACTATATAGGAACTATACATTAAATGTTAATAAAAGATAAGTTTATCTATTGAATTATCAGCTAAATAAAGTATCTATTTTATCTCTTTATACAATCAAAAATACTTATTTTCTAACCATAAATATAACACCTGCTTAATGAAAATTTAAAAAAGCAAAAGCACTTATAATCTTATCACCTATAAATAAAGGATTGAGCCTTTTTGAAAAATGTGAATATGTAGTGAGGGGACAGATGAATGAATTTACACATTTATGTGGCAGAGGTGATGTACTTACTTACATGTGTTTTGTGCTTTTTTTTACATGTGGTAACATATATACACTTTAGCATATCAGTACATTTCATTCTATAGCATGTTTTAAAATATCTGCATACTATTTCATTATTTAAATATATCATTATTTAACCATTCATCTATTACTTGACAAGTATCTTTGAGGGTTTGAAAACTATGTTTAGAGGGAGTATATTTTTAGAATATAGAATTTAACTTAGCTTATAAAATGGACACAGTGGCTACTATGTGTTATCTCAATTCACGTATTTGTTGATATTGTTTTAGCAATAGTAAAAAATAAGGCAAAATTTTTTCTAAATGTCATAGATCAATAATCAATAATTTTTCTGTTTCTGGCCATCTTGAATCTTCAACATAGTGCTGAATAAACGTTATGAATTTTTCTGCTTAGATATTTTATCCATGAGATGTTTCAACAACAAGGTCCCCTCCTGGGTTGAACCAATTCCAATGTAAAATTGTCATATATGTTTTGTAGACTGAATTTCTATGTTTCATATGCTTTATATATATATGTATATACATATATATATAAATTTTCTGCTAAATTACATTCTTTGTAATTTAACCTCTCTTTTATTATTTTAGACACTAATACATGTTTTTATATTTTTCAGCATATTGAAAACACCCAGTCCCATAAATTAACAAACAGTTTAAGCTATATGGCTTTATTCTAGAGCCATAAAAATCATTTCAGGAAAACTTAAAATCAATACTCTAATAATTAGTAATTTTAAGTTGTGAATGATTTATTAAATGTATGTTTTTCTCATGTTCAAAATAATCAGCCATTATCACTAAAGCAGTTAATGTTTAACTTTCTATTTTCTTTAGGTATGATCTACTAAAAAGGCAAAATTTCATTATATTATGATTAAATTAAATGAAAACTAAATTGGAAATATTTTAATATATTTATTTTTCTATATATCATCCCAACTAATCAGCAAAAATAATTATGCCAATTCTGCTTCAATGAATAATACTGAAATTGAAGCATTGTATTTGTGCTTAAAAGGACACTCAATAGGTTGAACATTTCCTAAAATGATATAATTTACACTACCAACATGGTTATTTTTCTTAAAGTGGCATAAATGTAAATTACTGTAAGTTCAGATAATAAATGAATTAATGAAGTTTAACTAATGTGGGTGTAGTGGGGGAATAAATGAAAAACAGTCTTGTTCTAAAATATATTTAGGTAAACCTTTAAAATTCTTGAGGAAAAGGAAGCCTATATAATAATTCTTTATTATCTTTAATTTTTAATTGCTTCTGTAAAAACTCCAAAGTCAATACATATCTGGCTCTTAAAAATTTCAAACAAGCTAAATGTATAATTTCACATTCCCCTACTGACTTCCTCTTAAAAGTTACTCTTACATTTTGTTAGACTCTATAAATACCTAGCATAGTATTTTATACATGACAGGCATTTCTTTTTTTTTTTCTTTTTAATATGGAATGCTTCACGAATTTGCGTGTCATCCTTGTGCAGGGGCCATGCTAATCTTCTCTGTATCGTTCCAATTTTAGTATATGTGCTGCCAAAGCGAGCACCATGACAGGCATTTCAATAATGCCAAGCAAGCACAATTTCAATAATTTCTTCATATTCTCATTTTTACTAAAGAATATACAAAGTAAAAAAATTCTAATATAATTACACAGAATTTTACATTTTCCTAATTCAGATTTTTCAGGAACTTTCTATACTACGCAATATGCAAAGCTAAGAATGGGATATTGGAAACACTGTGACTACTTCAATAAAAGATACAAACTTTTACCCTTTCAAAAGAAATTTAAAAGACTTAGACACCTATGTAAGTAGAACTGACTGCCATATATATACAGGCTCATCCATAGAGTAAATAAAATTCCCATATGTCAGCACATTTGGCATGTGTATTTTTTCTATTTCATGCCATGTTTCCCTGGCCCAATGCACTACTTGCAGATTTAGTCTGTAGGAGAGAAAATGCTGCAGCTGCTAACATGAGGACTGCTAAGCACTGGAATCACTGGGTGACCCAGCACTGCTTCCTGCTTGAAATTCTCCCCTGGGGGTGAATGTAGGTGTTGGTACTCCCTGTTGTGCACTTGATACAGAGAATGCAAGCAAACTGGGACACTTCAAAGACAGAATAATTTCAATAAGAGTTTGGAGAGGAAAAGCAGAACTCTGTTGCTTTTCAGGAATTAGTAGCTACAACTTTCTTATTCCATTGTTGGTAGTGAAGAAAATAGAAGTGGAAAGGGAATCAGAATGGAAAAAAAGAATTTACACTAATTATATTTGGAATAACAGTGAGGTATAAACAATAACACAATTAGAGGAAATGACAAGACAATTACCTTCATATAAATATTCTACACTGATAAGCATTTAGTTCCTTGTATTATATACATGCATGTACAATGTGTACATCTTAAAACTAACCCGTAAGCATTTGCAAGTAAAAATTATGCTTTATTCTCTTTAGCAAATATTTACGATATTGATTAAAAAATATTTGAGAACAAAATGTTTCAAAATTTCAGAGCTCTTGACAATAAAAAAATTGGAAGATTTATTGTTAAATATTTATTTATTAATAGATTTCAATCCTTCAAGAAGCAGCTAATTATATGCCACTATAACTGGGAAAAATTTCTATGAATGTTAAAGCCATGCTATTGAAGTTATATTATGTGAAAAATAAACCAAAGTATGTTCATAGAAAGTTTCACTGTACTGTCATCTTTTATGTGACAAGATAGTCAACATTTACCAAATTACACAAATCTTTAAATCTAAGTTCATAGTATAAAGTAAAGTCCAAGGATGAGGAAACTTTTTCTGTAAAGATTCTGAAAGCAAATATTCTAGGGTTGCAACCCACATATGTCTTTGTCAGGATCACCCAAATCTGTATTGTAGTATAAAAGTAGTCACAGACAATACATAAATGAATCTGTGTGGTGTGTTCCAATCAAACTTTATTTACAAAAACAGCCAGCCTATATAGGCTATAGTTAATCAATTCTTGAAGTAGATTATATATTGCTAGAATTAACATTTTAAGTGGGATACAGAAAGGAACATTTTATATTTTTATAGGATAAGAAATACTTGTAATGTTTTCAAGATCTTTATTGATTTAAAAGAAAATTTAAGTAGTGCATAAATCTTACCTGATTAGGTATCCTCAATGGGGGCCTTGGACCTCCAGGGTACCGAGGTGACATAAAAGGCTATTGAGGTAAAACAAATAGACAAACAAAACAAAAGATAACACAATGTAAAATGCAGATCTAAAAATAAACTACTTTTAAAAACATTAAGAATTAATTCAAAACATAAATCAATTTACTTTCCTATATGACGATTTTCAGTAGACTAATTACTTCTAAGAAAAATTTTGTAGAATATCTGGAAATATTTCTAAGAAAATGGAAAAACATCAAAGGTAACTGCAATTTTTTTAAAAATATGAATTATTAATTAGGTTCTGAATGTATACTTTTGACTGAATTATAAAGCTTGATTACTAGTTTCCTTTAACAATTTTAGTTGCCAAATTTCGTCTTTTCTTTTATGGGTCTGTTTAGAATGACAAAAAAGCTTCTTTTCTAGGTGTCACTTATAATTATGAATGTTTTGGTTTTCTCTTATTATGGGTATGTTATAATTTAAGATTGACTACAAAATTTAAAGTTAAAAATTTTTGCATATTTTACCTTATATTATGAAGTATATACATGTTACAAAAGGAAGAATGATCTTGTATTAAAAGCACAGTTAGTTTATGTTGTTGGATAAGTCAGAGGCTCCTCTAAGATGTGTTAAATCCTTCAGTCCAGAAACTGTCTGGAAAAATATCTTAAAAGTATTATTTCAGTGATTGCCCAATGTCAAGTGGAAGGAAAATGTTTCTGAACACTCAGATGTGGACAGCAAAGTTTTATAAGCTTAGTAACATATTCAAAATTCCATTACATATTTTCCTAGGAACTGCAGAAAATTATAACTTTATTTAATTATATCTCTGTACATGATTACTTAAAGGTAAGATTCCTTACATATAATACAAGTAAGCCATTAAGTCAAAAGGACTGAATACTATTAAGTAAAATACTGAGAATGGTTTAACATAATTTGAGAATTAATTTAACAGGTAACAAGTAGATACAGATTTGGGTAGGTCAAATTTATAGCACATTTTGGAATTAAATACTGTAATTATAATGTATCTTCTATAAATATTTTAAGGAATTATGTCTGCAGTTCATTACTGTTCATTTTCCAAAGCTGTTTATTAAAAGTGGCTCCAAAAAATATAATACTAAGAAATTTCTGCTATATGGATTTTTTTCTTACAGTATTATTTGGAGAGTCTGACAAACCAATACAATGAACTTTAAAATTAAGCAAATAATTATATGTTAATGTGTTCCCAAGTGTTCATTTTTTTTGGGTAGAGATAGTGGATTATTCCGATAGTAAAGTCACTTCCAATTGATAAAACTTAAGTCGATTTTCCCATTTCAACAAAGTTGATTTTTAAAATGTGTAGTTTTCTCATTTTTCACCAACATTTCTCTCTTTTATCATTTCTGAAAACAACTCTAAATTGGATTGATAACTAAGGTAAATATTACCACCTAGGAGGTTTGCCCAATATTCACACTCTCTGTTCCTGTCTCTTTTCTTTCTGTCACCCAATTTCACTTATATTCTGGACTCACCTTTAAATTTTGATAATTAGATAGTGTGCCAGTGGTTTTATAATCTTTCTTTTACAAAGTGATATTTATGATGTATTTGTTAATTCAAATTGTAATATATATTTACTGTAAAATGAAAAAATAAATAGTTTAATAATATTTCTGTGCATAAGAAAATCACTTTCTTTTGGTTATACTGAAGATTGAACTCAGGGCCTCAACCTTGCTAGGCAGGTACTCTACCACTTTAGCCACGCCCCAGCACCTTTTGCTTTTTATTTTGTTTTTCAGATGCCTTCTCTCAGATTGCATTCCTCCTACCTCCACCTTCCAAGCAGCTGGGATTATAGACATGAACCACCATGCTTGATCAAAATCACTTTGAAATGGAATACAGGTCAAAATTACATGAAAAATATTAAATACCAAATGTTGAGATAAATTATAAGTGTCTTATTTGAAATAGAGCACTTGAGAGTTGTATGTTCATCTGAATGTAAAAAGATATTATAATGTTAACTTAATGAAATATTTAAAAGGAGTTTTTCCCTCTAATGGACTACATACATTGTGAATGAATCTATTTTAATGAGATTATCTGTACTTTTCTGCCTGACTGCGAGGCTTTAATTGGGGCTCCCATGGTGGGGTGGTGACTAGGAGCCTTCAGGTACCTACAAAGTAAAATTGGAAGAGACAGACTCTGTAGATTTTCAGTCAAAATTTATTTTCTCTTTATGTATCCTCCTCCAAGTGCAAAGATTTTTTTTGTTGTTGTTGTCATGGGGTGGGGGAAAAACTCTTTATCTATCCGTCTGTCTATCTATCTATCTATCTTTAATTGTATCTTATAATAACAAAAATCCAGTTAATTTTGATAAAAATCTACTTTTCTCTAAAATACGAAGATTGCATTTGTTAAATTTTTTAATATAAAATTAGCTCTTTTATAGCATGAATTCTTAACATTCAGTTTGATCCTTGCATTAAATTATCTAGACAACCACCTAAGTCCTCAACTGCCTAATGAATTAGCTTGGGTAGACACAGCAACAGATCATAAGGAATTTGCATAGAAGTATCTGAGAATCTTCTGTGCTAATATACATACTTCACTACCTGGAAGTCATTTTGCTTTCAAATATAATTCAAGATATTAAAACAAATTTTCATGGTAAAATACTCATTTTTCCCAGAGATTACCTATTGATAATATAAATTATATCTATTGGGAGACACTTAGTACTTGCTATAGTAATAACAGGAAGTGCTTAAAAGAATCCTTAGTTCAGAAAGGAAATTTATTCTTTACATTTGGGGTAATTTTTGGGGGGAGAGGTTCTGTTTTGTTTTGTTGTTTTAAATAGGCCATTAAATTCCTTAAAAAAGTTATTTATAATGACAGTAAAGGAGTCTGGGAGTAAAGAGACTGGATTTTAGTTTATATACCACTACTAATTAGTAGAGTAGCTTGATCTACATGACTTTGGGGGCTCCAGTTTTCTCAAACTTAAAATGAGGAAATTGAACAAAATGATTTCCAAAATCCTTTTTTTTTTTTTAAACTTAAAAACAGGACTTTATTTTCTCACAGTTTCAGCCACCAAAAGTCTGAAATCAAGGTACTGGCAATGTTGATTTCTGTTTTTCTTTATTGTTGTACTGGGTGGGGATACGTTGTGGCATTTACAAAAGTTCTTATAATGTACCAAATGTATCACACTTGAATTCACCCATTTCACCATTTTCCCTCATCCTCCCCCTCCCCCCATTCCTAGAATAGTTTCAACAAATATCATTTTCCATCTACACTACATGTGTACACAGAATTTGTACCATATTCACCCTCCTTCACCATTTCCCCACCTCTCCTCCCTCACTGGTACCACCAACCCCCCCTCCCCCAAGCAGAACATCTTCATAAAATAATTCCCTCAATATTCTGTGCTAATTACTTTCAATATTACCCTTCCATATAGAGATTACTGTACTATAGATAGCTATAAATATTTGAAGTGTATAGGGAGGTAGGGGTGAGATAGGGTAGGCAAAAAGGCATATGCTCCCAAGGCACAATTTTCCAGAGAAAAAGGAAAATCTAGTCAGCACCAGTGGTTCACGCCTGTAATCCTAGGTACTTGGGATGCTGCAATCAGAACTGATGTTCAAACCCAGCCTGGGCAAATAGCTAGTGACACTCCATCTTCAAAATTCCAAAATAACCAGAGCAAAATGGACTGGAGGTATGGCTCAAGGAATGGAGCGCCTGCTTTGCAAGCACAAATCCATGAATTCAAACCTCAGTCCTATCAAAAAAAAAAAAAAAAAAAAAGGGAAAACCTAGTTGAAGAACAAGAAACATTCCAACAAACAATGGTGTTCTTTGTTGTGTCATATTACAGGTCAATTTGGGAAATAAAAGAGCAGCACTTACTTATTAGAAGGTTTGGTGAAATTTGCTCATTCAACAAATACTTATTAAACACCTGCAAAGGTCCTGTTTTAAGTGGTTGGGTTGTCAGTGCACAAAGGTGATAAAGATCACTGCTCCTTTCAAGTTCAAAGTCTTATAACAGGAGAAACAAAAAATTTTATAGAAAAAATGTTCTCTCCATCAGTCCAGTAATCTGGAACAAATAGGATATTCTCTTCACCAAATGGCAAGTATCAATGAAAACCCAAAGAAAATATTTCAATCTGGTGTCTTCCTTCAGAAGTCATATTACATCATACTACTTGATAGAACATGTAGTGCTATGAATGACCAAAATCAAGACTACATTTTTAAAAAGTTTCCAAATTAGGCAAAACTCAGGGGTAAGGTTCTTGATTTTATAATGTAAGATAAGTTGGATAGCAGCGTTAATACTCTGATATATGGAAACTGCATTTATAGGTATAAATTGTTGTTTCTACATGTCTCAGTTAGCTACCTATGCTATGGACTGAATGTTTATGTCCTCACAAAATTTCTGCTGAAACTCTAATCCGCTATGTGATGGTATTTGGAAGATAATTAGGTCATGAGGGTAAAACCTTCATGAATGCGATTAGTTCCCTTCATTCATATTCATTTCTCTCTCTCCTCTCTCTCTCTCTCTCTCTCTCTCTCTCTCTCTCTCTCTCTCTCTCTCACCCTATTCCCCACCTCCCCCCCCTCTTCCCCATCCCACAAGAGTAAACTACCATCTGTAAAACAGGGACATGGCTCTCATCAGAAACTGAATTTGCTGGCATCTTGATCTTAAACATTCCAGTCTTTGGAGCCCTGAGGAATAAACCTCTGTTGTCTAAGCCACCTAATCTATGGTATTTTTATTGTAGCAGCCCAGACTGACTAAGACAGCCCAGAAAGAATGGGCTAATGCAAAGTGGAAAGAATAAAAACACATGCCATCAGAAAATCAATAAATATCTGATGACAAAATGCAAGGAAAAAATACTCTAACAGAAATACAAACCAAATGTTCAGCTCATTTTCTCAAAGCAGTCTTTTAGAGAAAAACAATTATGCCACTTAGAATCATAATTTATTTCAGAATGAATGTAATTAAACTTTAAAGGATTATTATTTTCTATTATATTTAGAGTTAGTCATGGAATT